TCCTATTCCCTTTGTAATTTAGAGCAATGCCTAAACTTTTCCTAAGGAGGCTATAATAACCACACTCTAGCCTTCCTGTTTACAGTCTTGCCTCTGTGTCCTGTTTACCTGCTTTTAGGAAGAAAGATCTTTCTAAAGTATAAATGTAATTAAATCTTTTCTCGCTTAAAACTTTAATGGTTTCATAATTCCTTCAGGAAAAAAAAATCTGTGCTTCTTCCTATGAAATACAAAGTCATCAATGATAAGGTGTTTGTCTCAATAGATACCTGTCTTTTCTTATATTTACTTCTCCCTTTTTATCTCTTCCCACATGCCATAAGGAAGTATACTGCCTTTCTAGGGATTCTGATTTGTCATATTTCACCTAAAAACAGAATGCAGCATTTCAGATGTGATATGATCTATAATAAGTGGACAAAAATTGCCTCCTAACTTCTCCTTTACTGAGATAATTGTTAATATTTGATTGGTATGGTCTCAATATATATTATTTGTTTGACATAATGCTTTTTATTCCATAGATTTTTATATTCACAGCACTGTCTTTCCCCAAAACATTATTTTAGAGCCCAGTTTCCATTTTACTGTTATCTCAAAGCATACTAAGTAATAGGGCTGCATCTGTTTGCTCCAGTTAGAGTGCCTCTCAGAGAGCTGTTTGATCCCTCCTCCTCAAACCCATGGTAATGAGTTTATTTCAGCTTGGCAGTGTTAGTGTTGGTATTCGACCTGCCACCAGATGACTAGATGATGTGTATTTCTTTATAGTACCATTTCATAGTTTGCAAAATCAAGAAACAGTCCTCTGAAACTGTCTAGCTGGTTTGGAAGTAAAGCAGTTGTTCCTTTCCTTGTCAGTTCTTCACCTCCTCACCCTCAGGGGAATCAGGATGCCCCATGTTATGTTTAAAAGCCTAAACATATCAAACTTTTATTCATCTGTTGGGTTTGAAAGGGGGACGTTATTAGCTCTGTCTTGATGTAGCAGGGGCTCTGAAAGTCTATTTGGATAACACTGAAGATTGGAGGAAATGTGACTCTGTCTGTGTGTTTTAAGCCCCTAAGGTAAGATCAGAAAGCGTCTGGGGCAGTGAGAGCCAAATAGCTGAAGTCATACATTAATTATGGTCATGAATCATTTTTATTTTTAAAGTCTTTACCATTTGACAAGGTTGTTTGCATAGTACCAGTGAGTTTCAGGCAGCATTTTCCCCCTTTTAAAGTAACAGGCTATTTTGTTGATTTCTGCTCTGAGTTGATAATGCCTATTATTATTACAATTCTGATGATTTTTCTTAGTAAAAATTGCATGTTTCCTTACTTAAGTGAGTAGTTTTTATTTTATTTTTGTTTTGAATATAGTATTTAAAGTTGTAAATATAGGGAACTATCACTATAATCTTTCACTCTCCCACTGATACCTGTAAAAAATATTCAAATCTTGGGACTGAGCTTTTATGTTCAGGAGTTAGTTGACATGCAGTTCGCAGATATCTTTTGAGTGCCTCCTTTGTGCCACATTCTGTTCTAAGCACTGAGAATGTATATAAAAATAAGAGATTTTTTTTTTTCTTGGAGAGATCTAGTAAGGAAATAAACAGTTGCTATAAAATGTGGTTCTGTCATCTTTGTTAGAGGTTCGTATATGGAATGCTGTAGATTTCCAGAGGAAGGAGTGCCTTCATCTGTCTGGAATAGTCCAGAAAGGTCTTTGAAGAAGCGATTGTGCTTGAACTGCCTTTTTAATGGACTCAAGAGTGTACTTATCTGTTAAGAGATGGGGAAAACTTACAGGCAGATAGATCAGCTCACTCAAAGGCACAGAAACAAAAAAATGGCATGATGTGCTTGGAGAATTGCTGGGAGCTGAGCACGCAAGTTAAGGACTATCAGGAAATGAGGCTGGAGATAAATGCTAGGACTGCATGACAAGGGGCCTCTCTTTGCTTTTAAATTTCTGTAGAGCCAACTTTGTAAGAGAGTATTACTACCAAGAGAGTGTGTACACATGCATTCCCAGCGCAAGAGACAGTAGGATGGAGTGTAACCTCTGTTGGATTCCACAGGAGCCTCGAGGAAGTTGCTTGAGTAACTTAGCTCATGAGCAAACTAGCTATAGTAAGAGTTGTTCCCTTCTAGATGACCTAAGTTGCTCCCTTTTAGATGGCCCTTTTAGATGATCTAAGAAATCCTCAATAACTATCAAGCAATTTCTGAAAGTGCAGAATATGTCATGAATATTTTTGGTGTATAGTATCATCATCATCATCATCATCATCATCATAATGTAGGCAGAGGTAGTAATGTCTTTGCTTGTGTTCCTGATATTGGTTCCCGATGCCATCGAATCCCTGAAAATGTTCACCTTGTATATAGGTTATCTTTCAGGTTAGAATCATTGAATGATTTTTAAAAATTGAGGTAAAATTTACACAGTGAAATGCATAGATCCTAAGTATAAATTCTGCATATAGCTATGTACCCGCACTCCAGGAAAGATACGTTAGACATTTCCATCACCTCAGGGAGTTCCCTTTGTTTCCCCTGTCTTCTACCAGTCAGTCCCACCCCACACAGCAACTCTTGATTTCTGTCATCATGGATTGCTTTTACCTGTTCTTGAACTATGTATAAACGGAATCATACAGTCTACTTTTTGTTCTTGGCTTTTTTCACTCAACATAATGCTTTTGAGATTAGTTCAGATTGTTGTGTGATTCAGTGTGTCTTCCTTTGTATTGATGAGTAGAATTATACCTCAGTTTGTTTATTAATGCTCCTGTTTGATGGACATTTGTGTTGTTTTCTATGAAAATCTTCTACAGATCTTCATGTAGACATATGTTCTTACTGTTCTTGAGTAAATGCTTAGGAGTAGAAATACTGGGTCATAGGTTAGATGGATGTTTAACTTTATAAGAAACTGTTTTCCAAATTGTACTTTTTTACACTCTTACTGGTAATGTATACAAGTTGCTCCACATCCTTGCTAGTATTAGGTGTTGTTATTTTAATTTTGGCTATCCTAGCTGGTGTAAAATGGCATCTTCTTATGATTTTAATTTGCATGTTCATGATGACCAAGATGTTGAGTACCTTTTCTTGTACTTACTGGCCACTCTTATGTCAACTTTGTGAAGAATTTTACTTTTTTGCCCATTTTTTATTGGGTTGTCTTTTTGTTACTGATTTATAAGAGTTCTTTATATACTCCAGACACAGTCCTTTGTCAGATTGATGTTTTGCAAGTATCATCTCCCAGACTGCTTATCATTTTCTTAATGCCATCTTTAGATGTACAGACATTTTTTATTTTTGTGAGGTCCAATTTATCTATTTTTAATTTTATGGTTAGTGCTTTTCATGCCTTCTCTATGAAATCTTTACCTCCCCCAGGGTTGCAAGAGATTCTCTATTTTTTCTACAAGTTTTATGATTTTAGGGTTTATGTTTACTGTGTTGTCATTGAATTAATCTTTTGCATGTGCTGTGAGGTAGGGAATGAAATTAACTTTTTTTGCCAGTTTATCCAGTACCATTTGTTTAGAAAACTTTATTTTCTCCATTAGTTTGTCTGGGTTCCTTTGTCCAAAATCAGTTGGCCATATATGTGTAGCTTTATTTATTTAATCTTTACTCTGTTCCTTTGATCTATGTTTTCATCATTATGCCAGTACCATATTGTTTTGATTATGTAGTTTTATTTATTTTTTTTTAAATTTTTTATGTATTTATTTGACAGACAGAGATCACAAGTAGGCAGAGAGGCAGGCAGAGAGAGAGAGGAAGGGAAGCAGGCTCCCTGCTGAGCAGAGAGCCCGATGCGGGGCTCGATCCCAGGACCCTGGGCTCATGACCTGAGCCGAAGGCAGCGGCTTTAACCCACTGAGCCACCCAGGCGCCCCTGTAGTTTTATTTTAAAAAGTGTATCTGGGTTTATCTCTTCTAGAGTCTTTGTTTTTCTTTATAAATTACAGTATCAGCTTCTTAATTTCTTTAAAAAAATGAAAGCCTTCTGAGATCAGAATTGTGATTGTGAAACAAAGACCTGTGTATAGAAATATAATGAATTTCTGTATATTGACCTTGGATCCTGTGACCTTATTAGTTCTAGTAGTTGTTTTGTAGATTACTAATGAAATTCATTTTCATTATATGAAAATCATGATATCTAAAAATAAAGACAATTTGTATATATGTATAAAGAAATATATAAGCTATATTTGAAGACCAACAGATTAAGAAAGACGCAAACCGATAATGAAGGCAAAAAAGAAAAATAGTTCTTAATTTTTTCAGTGTTTCTTGTTTCAGAGTGGCTACTGCTGCTTTAACTGGGATTATTGTTAATTCTTTTTTTCTTTGTATATACCCATAGGTAATATTTTTTGTTATCAGTGATCTTCTCCTGGTGACTTTAACACTCCACTTAATTTCTCTGGGCTTCAGTTTTCACCTTTGTAACATGATAGAATTCAACCAAATTCTTTCCTTTAAGAAAAACAAAAACAAAAAACAAACGTTATTTATCTATAGAGAGAGCACATTGAGGGAAGGACAGAGGGAGAGAATCTTCAAGCAGACTTCCTGCCCAGTGTGGAACCTGACTGTGGGCTTGATCCCTTGATCCATGAGATAATGACCTGAGATGAAACCAAGAGCCAGGTGCTCAATCAACTGAGCCACCGAGGAACCCCCTCAACTAGATTATTTTCTAAGGTGTCTTCCAGACTCCTGTGAGTTTGCCATTTTAGCTCTCAGTATATCAGAGGTGGGCAGGCAGGCAGGAATAGAAAGGATGTTTTTAGGGTCCACAGTAATTCCTGTTTATTTCATTATAAATATGCTAGGGAATTATGAAATGGTCAGTTTGAGTTGGTTACTAGTTCTGCTTATCCTGGAAGGTTTGTCCTCACTTTGTTCCATTTATATCTGTCGCTCTGTGTTAAAAGTTTATAGTTAACTCACTTAAATTTTTCTGCAACTTTTATTTGTAGGCTTCATAGAGCCCAGTGTGCAATTAAACAGACTCAGGTAACTGTTCAGAAAATTGGAAAGGAAATTGAAGAAAAGCTAAGGCTCACATCTACAAGCAATGAACTGGTAGGTTTTAAAATATGTTTACTTGTTTAGACTCCTTGATCTCTAAATGTGATCATCATGTTCTTCTTATATTAATTAATTTCTTTTTCGGAAAGCTTTATTTTTTCTTCTAATGTTTTGCTGAGACTTATGTTGGCATTTAAATGTTGGAGAACACTTTCCTATTTCCTATAATCTAACATGCAGAGTGCCTGCCTTTTGCCGCTAGGTGAAATTTGAGATTACATACAATTACTTAGAAAATAACTAAACGTTATTTTATTAATGTCTTACCAATGTAAACTCTAGATGCCAACTGTATAGTGAATAAGAAATAGCTGCCAGAAAGAAAAAAAAAAAACAAAACGAACTTTAGGGACTAATCTCCTTTTAAAAGATGAATTTAAAATTATTGGATTGGACTTAATAGGTTGGTTTAGGGATGGTGTTCTCTCTTGGGAAAGATTCCTTTTGGGAAAGATTGATGAGGCATTTCCAAAGAAATAGAAATTCCAACCCAAATAGACGGATTTAATATATTAGTATAATTTGGGGTTGTTTTATACTCTTTCTAGTGGACAAAAATACTAATTTTGATATAAAGATTGTGTCTTTGTAAGCAGAATAGTAGGCATAACTAATAAATTGAACTTTTCTCAAAATGAAGCCACATGGCTATGGTTAGCTTTTGATGAAATTTGTGCTATGGATTATGATAGTTAAAATACAATTCAAATCCTCAAATTAAGTCCTAACCAAAAAGGCTTGAAGTATTTGTTTTGTCCTAGATAGGCAGTATCTTCCAGTTGTCATTTATAGCACCATCAACTTAGGAGAAGGCCTTTGTACCTCTAAACAAATATTCTGTATTATCTTGAAGATATGCCAGCGATAGTAATTTAATAGATGAACTATAGAAAAACAGCACAGTTAGCCATCAACAGAGATGTCTCTCTCATGGAATTTGAAGTGAATGGATGATGATGTATTTAAACTATATAAAATTGCTGATTTTGACCCATAAATGGCAGTTTCATATAATTCAACCTGATGGATAAAGTGTCTGATGCTCACAGCGGGCATACAAAATATGGTAGCTATAATAGCTATAGTAGTAATGCTTATCCATCTGATTTTTCTTGCCTTTGGAAAATCTTCGTTTTGGAGAAGCTGTTAAACCACCTCTTGTTTTAACTCAGCCTTGGTAAAGGAAGAAAAGCCAGACTACAAATATATTGGAAAAGGAGAAAAAGCAGCTAATTTTAAGCCTTTCTGTAGTGTATAGAAATGCCACATTTATAGAACCTTTGAGGACAAATTGCTAGGGTTTTTTTCTTTCTTTCTTTCTTTCTTTCTTTCTTTCTTTCTTTTTTTCGTCTCCCAAGGCAAGACTGAGAAATTACTTATTTCATTAAATGACAGCATATGTTTTGTCTCAGTATGGAAAAATGTATGTTTAATCCTATTTTTCTAAAATATAAGTGGTGACACACCAAGCAAGGTGATAGAATGTGTGAGTTTAAGGAGGTCAGGTTCAGAGGTTCACTGTGTGTTTTTATGCTGCCTGGTCAACATAGACAAGAATTATTGATTTTTGAACTGAAGGTGAACCTAGGCATCATCTAGTTCCCATATAATTTCCCTAAAACCAACCCTCCTCAGTACATTCTGTTCCCTTCCCTGTTATATTTTTCTCCATAGTATTTATTACCCTTTAACATGCTATATATTTTACATTGGTATTTTATTTATCTGTCTCTCTAATCTCTGTGAGGGGAGACATTTTTGTCTGTGTTTCTTCACTGCTGTATTCACCAGTGTCTAGAAGAGTGCTTAACACATAGTAGGTTCAATAAATATTAGATTTACAAATGAATCTAGCATGTTAAATAACAAAATTCAACCAAGTTAATTTGAGTATCTACTTGACTTTTTCAAATGATTTATGAATCAGTGGGGCGGCACCTCTTCTAGAGAGAGCTCCAAAGCTCTCTCCAAAGAGTCCTACAGAATGCAAGGTTTTTAATAGAAGGAGGGTGGGGGCAAGAAAGTTATTAGCAAAAGAAAAGGATTTTTCCAGGCAAGGCGGCTTTCTAGGAGTAAAAGCAAGGTCTCTTAGCTTGTGGATTGCCTCATCTTCTTTGTGGGGAAAGAGAGGGCCAAAGTCGCAATCTTACTAGCATGGTTTGAAAGATTCTTGGCTGGCCAGATAAGACTGCATTTCTAGAGGAGGTTAGTTTGGGAACTTGGTCTAAGTGACACTATTTGGGGCTTATATTTTGTCTTTTTATTTATTTAGTTTTTAAATAAGGATTAAAAACAAGCATTAAACTGTTAAAAAAAAGGACGGAGAATGAGGCCTGAAGAAAGGAAACAACTTTCCCATAATCATTTGACAAGTAAAGACAAATTTTGGTTTACTTGTCTTCTTTCAGGGAATAATACCATTTACTTGTTAATTTTCTACTTTACAACTTATCTGTAGCAAATTAGAAACCTTTACCTACTACCTTTTTCCCTCATTCCTTTCTAAATTGGCCCAAGGTCATTATACTTCAACCCAAGCATTTTCAATTTTTAAGAATTGACTTTAATTTTAGCCTATATCTAGGGGCACCTGGGTGGCTCAGACAGTTGAACGTCTGCCTTCAGCTCAGGTTGTGGTACCAGGGTCCAGGAATTGAGCCCCGCATAGGGCTCCTGCTCAGTGGGGAGCCTGCTTCTCCCTTCTCCCTCTGCCTCTCCCCCTGGCTTGTGCTGTCTGTTGCCTACTCACTGGCTCTCTCTCTCAAATAAGTAAATAAATAGATAAGTAAATAAATAAAATAATTTTAGCCTATGTATAATAAGAAGACATACTTGATGCTGAAAGAAATTAGAACACTTTGTAAGACCAAATGTAAGTACCTCTGTTATTAGAAATTGAGTTCATACTTGATGGCTTTTAAAGATTTCGCATCTTCTCATACTACATCAATAGACAACTTATCTTTTTGACATTTAGTTACATTTCTTATGAAATTTCTGCCATTGTTATCTTGAATTTTTGCCTATATGTTTTGGATTTTGTCAGCTGCCTTTCCTGTATCTGTTGATAATTGTATTTTTGCCCATGTTCTTGTATAATGATGATAAAATACATTGATTAATTTTTAAATGTTAATCCAGTGTTGCATTTTTGGGGAAAGCCCCTCTTGTTCATGAGGAGTTATTATTTTTTTATGTGTATTGCCAGATTCAATTTGCTAAAATGTTTCAAGTTTTTTTTAAAGATTTTATTTTTAAAGATTTAAAAAAATTTTTAAAAAAGTAAATAAATACATAAAGTAATAAATAAATAGAAAGATAAATAAATTAAAAGATTTTTATTTATGTATTTGTGAGCAAGAGAGAGAAAGCACCACCGGAGGAGGAGTAGAGTGAGAAGGAGATGCAGACTCCCTGCTGAGCAGGGAGCACAATGCCCTGGGACTCCGGGAGCATGACCTGAGAGAAGGCAGATGGATAACTGGCTGAGCCACCCAAGTGCCCCTGTTTAAAGGATTTTTGCATCTATATTTACAGGGAATATTGGTCTGTAATTTTGTTTTCTTATAATCTGTTCGTGTGGTTTTGTTATCAGGGTGATATTGGCCATAACTAGTGATTTGGGAAGTGTTTTTTCTTCTATTTTCTAAAAGGATGTGTGTAGAATTGGAATTATTTCTTAAATGTTTGGTAGGATTTACCAGTGAAGCCATCTGGGCCTGAAATTTTCTTTGTGGATTTTGAACTAAGAATTCAGTTCTTTATTAGTTGTGGATTATTGACATTATCTGCTTCTTGAGTGAGCTTTAGTAATTTATGTCTTTCAAGAATTTGTCCATTTCATTTAAAAGGTTAGTCTTTTTAATTTTAGCTCTTCTCTTATTGGATGTGTAGTGTTCTCTAATTTTAGTTTATAATTGCATTTCTGTGATAAACATTTTTCATATATTTATTGGTCACTTGTGTATCTTTAAGAAGTGTAAGTTTATTTCTGCCCATTAAAAAAAATAAACTATTTAGGTTTACAGAAAACTTGCAGAGATAGTTCAGAGAGTTTCCATTTGAGTTTCATCTGGTTTCCCTTAATATTAACCTCTTCTATAACCATGTTACATTTCACATGGTACATTATCAAACCAAGAAGTTGACACTGATACATTACCATTAGCTGTGGCCTTTATTCAGGTTTCACCAATGTTTCCACTCATGTCTTTCTTTTAAATAAATAAACTTTATTTTACAACAATAGTAGATTTATAGAATTTTTACAAAGATGGTACAAAGAGTATACCCTACAACCAATTTCTCCTGTTACTAACATTTTACCTTAACGTTATAGTTAATGCATCTGTACTGATAAATCATCATTCACTAAAATCCATGCTTTCTTGAGATTTCCTTAATTCTCACCTGAAGTTCTTTTCTCTTCCAGGATCCTGTGCAGGAACCCATATTACATTTAGTAGACAGGCTTCCTTAGACTCTTCTTGGATGTGACAATATTTCAGGCTTTCATTGTTTTTAATGACTTCGACAATTTTGAGGATTACTTGTCAGATATTTTATAGAATATCTCCTGATTGGGACTTGTCTGATGTTTTGCCGTGATTAGCCTAGATTCTGATATCCCTTTTTTTGGTTCCAGTATCCAGCCCAGGATACCACACTGAATTTAGTCATGCCTTCCTAGGCTTCTCTGATCTAGGACAGTTTCTCATTCCTTCCTATATTTAAATCACTATTTCTTATCAGTGTTGATATTTACCTGAGTCACTACTTGGTTAAGGTAGTGTCCCCCAGGTTTATCCATTATACTCCTTTGGAGTATCCTTTCCATGCTAAATTTTTTGGAAGCAAAATACTAAGTCCAGCCTTCATTCCAGTAGAGGGGACTAGTTTCATATTTTTCCCCTCATTTTTAAATGGGATTTCTGTCTTCTTATGTTAAACAGAGGGGAAGGGGAGAAGGAGAGAGGAGAGTGCGTGTATATGCA